TATATATATCTCTCCAGTAATCACTTGAGATAAGATGGCACAAGTCTAACTCTAACTTTGGGAGCTAATTTGATGATGAAACATTAGCCCTTTATTGGATTTATCAGATCAAGTGTGTCGAATTTGGTCCACATCTACTGAAGTGTTTTTGATTATAATCTGATTAGATTATATGTTCAACAATAGATTAGTGTCCCATTGTAGAACAGTTTATAGGAAAAGTAGGTTAGAAATAAGCAACAGAGATCTGCATATTTACTTCCACTCAGCTACTTCACTTCAGTATAATGTAAAGTTCACAATACTGTCAAGAAGAGTATTTGTGTCTGTAGCTTGGCCACGCTGCACCACCTCCTGATCTCTGTTTTTGTAACCTTTCTCTCAGACGAGACGGACAGTTGCACAGACCAGTAATGATCCACAGAGCAGTGCTGGGATCGCTGGAGAGGATGATGGCCATACTGGCTGAAAACTTTGGAGGGAAATGGTGAGAAGATGATAATGCACAAAATCTGAATGTACCCCGTTAGTGGGATTATTGTTCTGTAGCTGTACGCTAACCTGTCACCCCCCTCTGTGCCTCACCCAGGCCTCTGTGGCTGTCTCCGGCTCAGGTCGCAGTTATTCCTGTGGGGGGCAACAATGAGTCGTACGGCAGGCAGGTCAGTGTCTGATGGAAATTTGCTTCGGGTGCATAAGCAGACAAAGTGAACTTTCATCCTGCCATGATTAATTTGTTCTTTAATATAAGAGGTAGATTACAGATACAGTCTTAAAAGAATGAATCCCTCTCTCTCTCCTGTTAAGGTGGTCCAGCAGTTCCATGAAGCTGGCTTTATGGCAGATCTGAATGACGATGAGGGAGCCACCTTAAATAAGAAGATCCGCTCTGCTCAGCTCGCCCAGTATAACTACATATTTGGTAAAGATGAATAACTAAGAGGCTACTTAAAATACTAAAGACTGCGACTGTTTTTCAGTACTGTTGACATATTTGACAGTCTTTTGTGTGTGTTTCTGTGCAGTGGTGGGTGATAAGGAGCGTGAGAGTGGAACAGTGAACGTGAGGAGCAGAGGGGGTAAACAGCTGGGCAGGAGGCCGACAGAGGAGGTGCTGATGTCCCTCACAAAGCTACGGGACACCAGAAGCAACCTCGATGAGTTTTGATGATGTCCTGGAAATAATGACTCACTGATGAAATGTTTGTTTTACATGTTCAGCCTGTTGCACTTTGGCTTTGTCTGAAGAAGCGGCTGGTTAAAGTTGGAATAAAAGTATAAAACACTGATGTTTATGTTCTGCACTCATTGCTGATTTTGTCCTTTAATGGAATTTGCTGATTAAACTGTCCTGCAAAAAAGAGACTGGAGAGAGAGAGATTTAAGGCTATTTAAGGATCGCCACACTCTTAGAAATAATGGTGCCAACTATAAGCACAGAGTCCTGCCACCTGCTCCCATAGGAGAACCCTTTGTGGTTTCTGCTCCAACCTTTTTTCAGCCTTTTGAGAGGAAACATAACACAAAGGAAATGTGAAAAGTTACACTCAGTCTCTGGCGGTGCTATCCAACACTTCTTACTGTTGCATACATTGAACTCAATGTCATGTTCAAGACACCAGTTTGAGATATGAGCTTTATGAAATGATGCGTCATATTTTCTTACTATCAGCTCAAAGGGGTCTGGCCGTTCTCTGACGTCAAAAAAGCATTTTGCCTCAAACTGCTGCTCACTGGATATTTTCTCTAACAAAGTAGATGATGAATGAATTTCACTAGAGCTACATTTCCATCTTTTCTACCCAAAAAGGTTTTACTCTATATCACATTCATTAATAATACAATGATAATAATAATACATGCTATAATTAACAATTTGCATTCGATGACTCACACATGTATTTAAAAGTCTTGGAACAATGATGGATAACAAGGTCACAGCCCACTTCCTGCTATGAGTGACTCATAAGCCGTCTGCAAACAACAGAGAAAAACTGAAAGTCCAACAAAAGCAGTAGGAATGAGAGTGCCTAATAATGGGAACAGTGGAAAAGAACCAACCTGTTAAGAGCCTCCACTGGCACACAGTCCTGGAAAAGTGGGGAAACCCCATAAAGAAACATAAATGATACACCTTTCCACAATAAAAGCCCTCGCCTAGTTTAATGTAATGAGAGCAGGGTTGAGTCTAGAAATGCTAAATGAGTTTTAAAATTAACTGGTATACTGATAAAGGCCATAAGCTAATATTCAGTGTCCCATCCATGAGTTTAGAAGTACAGATGAAACCCCAGACTCTTCAAATCTCACTTTTTCTTCTACAGGATGCTTAAAATGTTCTTTATATAGTTTCTTATGGAGATTATGCAGGTTTAGACTTTAAGGGTCAGTCACTTGGGTGGAGCTACCTGTTGTAAAGGCTAGGGTAGCGGTCCCTTGGGGAAGGAGGAACTGAACTGAAGAGATTATACTGCTGTGGCATTACTCAGCTACCAATGCAATTTGTTCCCTATAAGCCATCAAACGTGCAAACCTCCTGCTTATATAAGCGTGCGCGGTGCTATCTGAGCAGAAAGCCGGGCATACCTTTAAAAGACTGGAAGAAAGGGAGGACACAGAGGGAGATTTGACTAAAATAGGAGAGAGAGCAGCCGTGTCAGGGCTGTGTGTTTTCATGTGTGTTTAGTGGAAACAGCCAAGTCAAGGTAAAGGTCAAAGGAATTGGAGGTTTTTTCCTTTTTAATTGAGAGAGGGCAGCAGGATGGAAAAGACATCAGTCACAACAATGACACAGAGGGAGAGTGGGAGGTGTGAGCCCCGAGAGAATAATCTGAGTTGACTGGACAAAAGCAACCGCTTCAACAAAGCACACTGTGAGACAGGTAGAGTGACCGTGCTCAGGTCCTCCCGACATCGCTTAGTGGGCCGCAGAGAGGGAAGCTGGGGCAAATTTGTAAAAGCTCTCTGCTGGAGCTGGTTTGAAAGTACGTTTAATTGAAGCACAGATCTGACTAGAAGCGAGAGTGCAAACACAGGCAGGTAATTTGAGCATCAAATAGTAAATTAGCTGACACTTTTTACCACAAGTCTCACTCATGCAGGGACATTCACACACAGATGGATGCACCGGTGACACCTTAGGGTTCAGTATGACAGGCTGGAGAAGCTGGGATTCAATTTACCAACCTCCTGAATGATAGACCACCCGCTCTACCACCTGAGCTGCTGTGACCCCAACAGAGAATGATTCTAATGGGAACGTTTATCCCATTAGACTGCATAGAAACACCATTAAACACATTTTTTGCCAGTTAGTTATTTTTGCTTCTTTTTTTTTATTGCTGAGATATAAATCTGAGATCTGTGGACTTTCTAATACAATGGAGGTGAAGGAAATATCCTTTGCTGTGCTAACAGCCTTGAAAATGACAGCCGCACTGACAGCTCTACGGAGCTGCACCTACTTCTTGTCACACATCTCTGCCGGTTGTTATTTTAAAAAGTAAACATGTCTCATAAGAAACCTGTGGCTGAAAGAGAGCTGTGCTGAGCTGTGGATGCATCCCCGCTGAGACCCAAAAATGATTATCAGACAGAGCAGCAGCTGAAATAACAGCTAATGGCTTAAAGAGAAATACAAAGACATAAGACAATAATAAAAAAGCTTAACTTCCATTTGCAGTGAGTCAGAATAGGTGACTGGCAAAACTTGTGGATGGTACTGTATGCTTGTGAGAAGTTGGGAATGTTGAATTATAAAAAAGTAAATGTCAATGGTGTCTATTTATTACGTTACATACAGCCAAATTTAAAGTCTTTCATTGTCCCGCAAACTTTTTGCCCAACTAGTAAGTGGAGAAACGGAGTCATGTGAAAGGGAAAGTTTTCACAGGGCTGTGAACCCCAACAACTCTTGGAACCAGTTTTAGGAGCAATAAACTTTGACTGGGTCATTGCAGTATTTTATTCATTTTTAAGGCATTCTGTTGTTCTTGGGGCCACTGTTCTGCTGCGTGACCCAGATTTTAGTTTTAGCTGTTGGACAGATGGCTTTACGTATGGCTCTAGAATAATTTGGTATATGGAGGAGTTCATGGTCGACCATACCTGCAAAACAAGCCCAAAATCATCACCTCCACCACCGTGCTTGACAGCTGGTATGATGTGTTTTTGCTGATATGTTTTCTTCAGATGTAGCTTTGTAACTCTAAGTCGTGCTGAGACGAGACCTTTTCCCGGAAACCTTTGCAAACAAGCCATGTTTGTTCAGTCTTTATCTAATTGTACAGTCGTGAACGCTAACATTAAACATGCTAACTGACAGTCTGACACGTAGGTTTTTGGGTTTCTTGCACTGGCTCCACAGTTTGAACATTTGTCTAGCAAGCAAAAGGTCACCATTGATGAGTATCCAGTGTAAAATTCAGAGTTATCCACTGTGGTGACCCTTTGTGGGAAGGGAGCAGCCAAAAGTGGCTTCTGACCATTGCATGGTCTGACCTTGAGGAATTTGTTGGGACATCCGCTCCTGGATTCTTTTATTGTGTTTCCACAAACCTGAATGCTTCAACCTGCCAAAATATCAGCTTTTATAGAGCTGCTCACGCGCGCTGATGATCAGTTGATTAGCAGCACTTGGCTGCTACTTACCCTCTGCACTAAGGGTGCACTTTACTCTTGCAGTTTCCCTGGGCTGCATAGAGTCCTGTGAAAACTTTTTTTTGCATGACTGCATTTTACATTGATGCTAAAAAATAATTTACTGCTGGTGCCTGTAGGAAGGTCAGGGAACAAAGTCACTTAGAGTCATCCCCTGGGTGAATCGACTGGCAATCTTATTAGCAATGCTGCAAGTGTAGCTAATGGTTAAACAGAAGCAATGTGTCCCTGGTCCTCTGAATAATCGATATAACACATGTGATAAATGTTAGGGGTTTGTTTTGTTCTTTTTTTGTTTAAGAATAGAAAACCAACAAACTCAGTATTATACATAGTTTAAAAAAATATTGAGTCATAAAAGAGATAAAAAAGAAGGAGTCTGTACTTTGTCCTTGTGTTTAAACAACTTATCAGCCTCTTAGATGATTATGGTAGCTGCTTGTAGCGGAGAACCAGACGGCCTTACAATACAGCAGATACCATTTTTACCTAAATCGGATCTAAATGGACTCATAAACTCAATCTGTGCTTTTACAGGATTTATCAAACATGTTTGTCTCCTGAATCTCAGTTATTATATCACAGACATGATATACAGCTGAAACAATGTCTGATAACATGGAATGAATAGTTGATTAATGATAACAGTTAACATTAGAGGACGTTTGGGTTTGTTTTTAAAGCAGACAGCTACACAGAGACACTACACTGTGTTAGTCATTTATTAGAAAATCAGCTTTATTGGATTATTGATTCACAGGTTTTGAACTGAAGTTGTAAAAGTCTCTTTGCCTTTTATAACAGAAAACTGAACATCTTTGTACTTGTCAGACTGATGAGACCTCTGAATAGTCCGAATGTGACTCAAACAGTTGCGATCCTAGATGTCCTGCAGTATTCATCACGTTGATTATAAGTCTATTGTAAGGCTGGGCTCTCTTTGCTGGAGGCTTTGTCCAAAATGGGGCGATAAATGCGACCCAGACGCCACAGCCACCCGCCAACATTGCACAGTAGTTGCGTAGTGATGACACAGGCCATTAACTCCAGTAAACACCGCTCTAATCTTTACCAGATAACTATATCAGCCTCCTGTTGCACTCCTCATGTCCCCACTGTGCCCATCCTCCATCATTACTATCTCTGCTCTCACACACACACAAAGCAATCCTTCATTCAACTGGTGGAGTCGAACAGAGTTCACAGGAAATTATTTTTAGCTAGAGAGATTTACCACAAGTAAGGCTGCTGCGGAAAAGCTTTTTGCTTTGGAAGGACAGTGAAGAGAATTCATTCATAATGACATGAACGGATATCTTCAGCATTTTAATGTTGGAATAAGCCCGATGGGAAAGTCATAAAGAACTGTCCATCTGTTCCAGAGTCTAAAGACACGCATGTTAGGCTGGGTGACTCTGATTTGGCCATATCTGTGGATGCGAGCTAGATAAAGATCCTAAAATTCCCAGAAGAAAGCGCTGTAATGTAAAGACCTTTATGTTCTGACTCAGACTAGAAAACCACTGTTTAAATGCCAGTCCATATCTAATTCATCTACTCAAAGTTGTTTCATTTTTCTCCATCTTCTTAAAATAAGTAACAGGGTTTGGATGTAAGGTCACATAACGTG